GGGGGAAGTAGCAGCTCGCCCCCAGCTCTGCGATGGTCACAGAGCTGCAGCCCCCGGGGTGGGGGAGTTTGTGGCGGTTTCTTGTTTTTTAAATTTGAGTTTCGTCCTTGGGAGCCGCGCGGGCAGCAGTGGAGGGCTGGGGGGGGCTAATCAAAGCCGTGCCAGTCGCTCTGCTCCGAGTCGTACTCCAGCTCCGCACCGATGCAGCGCACCCCGTCCAGGAGCATTGGCGTGCCATGATGCCGGTCTGCAGGAAAAGGAGGGGACAGTGGGGACAAGGACAGAGCCGGGGTGCAGTCACGTATGGCCTCAGGCTGGCCCGGGGGACTCACTTCACTTTTTCGAGAGCCCTTTTGGGGAGCCTCACAGGTGCTTTGTCCTCTCACCCACGGTCCCCACACAAGGCATGCCAGCAGCTGGGGGCGCTGGGAGATGCAGGGATGCTGCACCCTGTCCCCAGGTCACTGCTGTGGTCGCTGCCCTCAGGTTCCTGCCCAGGGACCGCGCTCAGCCCCCGGTGTGTCACGGCTCGGGTGCTGCAGTGCATGGGGTGCTGGGGGCCGGGCTGGGACACGGGGTGGGGACACCACAGAGAGAACCACCAGCCCCACGGACCCCAGGACCAGTCGTGTGGAAAATGACAGTGAGAGCAGGCGCTGTGTCACACGAAGCAGAGGAAGCCGAGCTATGAAACGCTGCTCTAATTAACGAACCCAAATTAGGCAGCAAGGTGGGGATTAAAATTAAAGACCGCTGTGCTGCTTAATAAGCAGCAGTGGCTGGAGGAGAGGGGGACCCCAAGTGGGCTTGGCCACAGCCCCTGGCCTGGGCTTGGGGTGAGGACGGGGGGCAGGGGGTGTCCCTAACCCACCCCCTTCACCGGGGAGGCCCCGCAGCCTCGTCCCCTGGGCTGGGGATTTTCGGGGTGAAACTCATCCTGTTCAGACCATTTCTTAGAAGTGTCCACCAGGTGGGGAACGTCTGCAGCGGCTGAGCCGGGAGAGCTGGAGGGAGATGGGCTGGGAAAGGAGGGAGGATGGCGCTGGGGATGCAGGGGATGCAGGGGATGCAGGGGATGCAGGGGATGCAGGGGATGCAGGGGATGCAGGGGATGCAGGGAGCAGCCCTGGCTCCCCAGACACAGGCACAGCAGAAAGCAGTGGGTCTTCAGCCAGGTCTGCGAGCGCTTCCTGTTACCGCTTGTGCTGGGGAGGAATCGCTGCTCCAAAACCCAAGGAACTGCACGAGACCCACCCCTCCCACCGCTGCCCACCGGCACTGGCAGACTCTTACCCATGACACGGGCTTGTACCACCACCTTGATACAGGCGCCTTCACCAGCCTCGCTGGACAGGACCATCTCCTCCTTCAGGACCCCCTCCTTGTGCGCCGTGTACTCGCACTTCACGCTGTAGCCTGGGGACAGAGACACCCTGGGAGCTGGGCTCCGGCTGCGAGAGCTGCCTGCACCTTTCCTACCCCACCCCGAGAGCCCCTCCTCACCGCAGGCACCCAGAGAGCACCAGAGCCTGGTTTAGTCCCGTCCCCACCACCAAAGCGCTGGGCAACACAGCACAAGTCTTGCTGGGCTCCTTCCCCACCCCGTGCCTCAGTTTCCCCACCCGTGAGGTAGAGACAAGGATGCTGAGCCGTGGTGAAGCACATAAAGCTCCACAGAGATGCGGACGAGGTGTCTGGGAGTCGCTGCTTTTCCCAGCGCCGGGCTGAGGGCACTGCTGTGATGGTGCTGAGCACTCTCCAACGCCCTGAGCCGATGGCACCCTGAGACCTGCTTGGCCCCATCACCCTGCCCCAGGCCACCGGGGGTTTGCGCAGCCCCACAGGGAGGGAGCCAGGGGAGCAGGACACCAGCACGCAGCTCCTCTGCACCCCCAGCCACAGCCAAAGGGGGTCCCACCTCCCACTGAACCCAAACCCTGACCCTTCACCCTACCCCGACCCTCACACACAGCCCCAGCACACAGTACCCCACAGACACAGCAAACGGTGCTGCCTGCACCCTGCCCTGCCTGCACCCTGCCCTGCCTGCAGTGCCCCGACTAGGCAAACACCATGATCTACCACCAGCCGGGCACACTCGTGCCAAAATTGCCATGTCTTCCTCCTCGCAGAGCAAAAGGGACATGGAAACACCCCTTGGAGCCCCCAGCTCGGAGGGGGTGAAGGCTGGCCCCAGCCCCATGACCCCCCCAGCGCAGGGACAGAGCTGGCAGGGACGAAGGAGGCAGTTGCTTTTGATCCAGAGGCAAAAAGCTCAATGTAAAAAAATAACGGAGAGGCAGAAAATTAAACCGTGCTGGCCTTTCAGCTGCAGAAAGGCACTACTCAAACCCAGGGCGGGGGGCCACAAGCTTGCTGTGAGCACAGGTCCAGGCAGCCCCCGCAGAGCTCACAGGGAGGCACCCCGACGTGGCTGGCACAGGGGGATGCTGCGACGGCACAAAAAAAGAAATAAAAATGCGCTGAGCATCATCCAGGCTCCAGAGCACACGCAGCAGTCAGCTCCATGAGCTCAGCCCCAGGGCTCAGGAACACCGGCCGCACACAAGGAGCGCGGTGGGATGGAGGAAAGGAAACCATCTACAGGCACCATGAATCGCCCCTGACTGCTCCTCCGGGTCCCCAACCTGGTGTGGGGCTCAGAGCCCAGTGAAGGGCTGAGGAGCCAAAGGGGAGCGGAGCCAGAAGCCAGAGGACAGCTCAGGGCAGGAAAGCGCTTTCTCTGCTCAGCTCCACCTTTAACGGGGATGAAAGGTTGTACCTGGAAGCAGGAGGGAGACGAGGTGGCAAAACCTCCTCCCGTCCTGGCAAAACCTCTTCCTTCCAGGCGCCGGGAGCCCCCTTATCTCCAGACCACGCTCACCCGGGGCCGCTTTGTCTCTGTGCCTGTGCCAGATCACAGTGCCGCTCACCAGCCCCGCCGCGGCTGTCACCACAGCCAGGAGCCGCGCTCTGCCCAGGCTGTGCCGCCCTGGGGACGCCGGCAGCGCAGGAAAAGGATTTGGCCCATGGCCGGGCAAACCTGGCAAGCTCCATCCCTACCTACAGCTGAGGACGCGGGAACCAGAGCCTCAAGGGGAGCCCCAGCTGTCACCAGGACCCCAAGGACCTGGGAGACAAACCCTACTGAACCACTATGAGGCATCAGACTCCTCCAGGTCCCACCGGAGCTGCTCAGGGTCCTCAAAGGACTCCTTTCCCCAAAGCCTTGGGAGCCCTGGCCATGAGCCTGCACCAGGCGTGCCAGCCCGAAGTGGGAAGCTTCAAGCAAACAAAGCTTAAGTGCTTTGCTGGGTCGGGGCCAGCGGCAGCGCGGGAAGAGCCGCAGCCCGGCCCTGCCAGCCACAGCTCCGCTCCCGGACCCTCGGCTGCCGGGAGGTGGCACAGGCAGAGATGGTGAGCTGCAGCCCCAGGGAGCTGGAGGAGACAGGGATGCGGGAAAGAGCCTCCACCGGCTGCTTGTCAACCAGAGCTGCTGGCACAGGACCAGCCGAGGTGCCCCAAGGCACTTTGCAGCCCGCTGTGTCCTCGGGGCGGGTGCTGTGTCCCCAAGACGGCTGTCACCAAGCCCAGCGTGATGCTCAGCTGTTCCAGTTGCCGCACTGGGGCCACCATGCACAGCCCTGCTCCCTTCTCCCATCAACGTGCTGGTGGAAAACTGACCCCAGACCAGAGCCATGCTGGTGCATGAGCCTGATGCCTCTTGGAGCAAGCCCTGTCCCTGTCCTTGTCCCTATTCCCACCGGCCTGCGGGCTCCGCTCCATAAACCCATCGCTACTCTTCACCTCCTGCCTCCCAGACTGATCTGAACCCACAAGAAACAGCAGCTGATTGATGAACATTTGAGATAAAAGAGCATTTAACCTCCCAATTGCAGATGATAAATTATGGAGAGACGCAGGTCCGCAGGGCACGGAGCAACAGCCACAGGCCGGTTGCGGGATGTGACTGAACCTGCGCTGCCAGCGGGGACCGAGCAGGACCAAGGGCGAGGGGAGCAGGAAAGGGACGGGGAAGGATATGGAGGAAGGAGTGGGCAGAGCAGCCAGCGGGACCCTCAGCCCTGCAGCCACGCTGCCAGGGGGCTGCCCCGTGCCCAGCCCCCAGCATGGGCTCGGATGGGCCTAAGATGCCACAGACATGGAACAAAGCAAAGGCCAGGCAGTTCCTCTGCACAGACCCACATCGAGTGCTCACGTTTCAGGATGTTATTCTCCTTTCCTCCACGACAAGAGAATTAGCAAGAAGCCTGGAGACAGACGGAGAGGTGACCCCC